TTATCTGAGGAGAATTAATTTATTTTAGTCTGACCCCAGTCCCATCCGCTAACATGGAGGAGGCGGGGTTTATGATCTATACTGCAGCTAGACACCAGGGGGCGACAGAGGCGTTTTGGCTTCATTTTTGGGGAGCTGTCGTGTCGTCCATCTTTTATACAGTCATGGTCGGGACAGCCTCCAGCTGTAAACCAATGAAAAGTCAAATCTGCTCCTGATTAAAGTTTTTTTTTCTCAAACACAACTCGTTAATTTTTCTCCGTCAGAGGTGGAGGGAGGAGAATGCTGTAACTATAGCGACAAAAATTACTTCACGTTGCACCAAACAGTTTAATAGTTTAATAAAATGTTTAATGTGTATATTTGAATTAAACATTCAGACATTTACACTGATGTTCAGTCATGCACTGATCTCAAACACTGAAACAAATCTCGTATAAAAACCTTCATATTTTAAACGTTCCCAGGAAACATGAAGACGTTCTGCATGAATGCCACGGCTTCTAAGCGCTGAGCGTTCACTGCAGGCCGCATGCTGTGGTGAGATCTAATAAACTCATAAAGCATATTGATGACATGGAGCAGAGCCGCAGGAAGCACCAAGGATTAAAGGCGACCACAGGAGAAGTTCTGGGAAAGAAGAGTGAAGATTAGTGAGCGGCAGCGGTGTCACGTCAGGAGCAGGTGAGCTGTTTGCTCCGAGCGAGCTGATGGACGGAGACAGGAGCTGAAACGTGTCTCTGTGGAGAAACTGGAGGTGTGGTATCACATACAGATACAGAGCTGCAGGCTTGCACCACAGGTGTCTCTAAGTAATGCAGCAATGACGTAAAGTGCGACTTTCTTCAGGGACTTTTAAATAAGCGAGGACGTGCAGACAGCATACTGGATTTTTGGAGTAACGACCCCAACAATGTTAAAGGGGGACCTGCCAGGTGGGAGGAGCCAAGAACATGCAGGTGACGGAGACTGAAATGTGGTGACTCCTAACAGGCAAAGCTACAGTACACAGCAAAATAACCTTAACAGTGGAATAAACACAGGTAACAGAATAACAGAGGCTCACAGCAGCGGTGTAAATAACAGCCTTACTGTGGGATATCTCACACACGCCTGTGACGGCGAGCTCACACATCACAAACAGACGTTTATCGGGCCTGGTCTGCCGGGTAATTCTCCCCCACAGGTGCTTCCGGACTTTGTTTCCGACCTCTGTGAGTCCTTGTGTGAATTTTCAGCTTGGATGGGTCTTTAAATCGTTTCTCACAGGTGCTGCAGGAGTAAGGCTTCTCACCTGTGTGTGTCCGCATGTGATACAGCAAATGGATGTTCTGGATGAAACCTTTTCCACAGGTGTTACAGATGTACGGCTTCTCGCCCGTGTGGATCATCACGTGCTTCTTCAGCGCCGTCAGTTCGGTAAACCTTTTCCCGCAGGTGTTGCAGACATACGGCCTCTCACCTGTGTGGGTTCTTATGTGGACCATCAGGCCTTTCCTAGAGCTGAGACTTTTCCCACAGGTTTGGCAGGAATAAAGTTTCTCCCCCGTGTGGACGGTCATGTGGTTTTTCAGCGCCGATAAGTCTGTGAATCTTTTCCCACAGGTGTTGCAAAGGCACGGCTTCTCACCTGTGTGAGTTCTCATGTGGACGTTCAGGTTACTCGGCTGACTGAAGGTTTTCTCGCACAGTTTGCAGGAATACGGCCTCTCGCCCGCGTGGGTGTTCGTGTGGACTTTGAGGTTGAAGCTACTGTTGAAATGCTTCCCGCACGCCTCGCAGGAATACGGCTTCTCACCTGTGTGGATTCTCATGTGGACCAACAAACTGTAGCTGCAGGTGAAATGTTTCCCGCAGGTTTCGCAGGAGTACGGCTTCTCGCCGGTGTGCGTTCTCATGTGGACGGTCAGATTGCTGCTTTGGCTGAACCCTTTCCCACACGTTGTGCAGGAGTACGGCCTCTCGCCCGTGTGGATCCTGTGATGTCGCTCCATCTGCGACTTGTGTTTGAAAACCTTTCCGCAGAAAGCGCATTTTACCGGCTTTTTACCTGCAACAGTGTTGCAGTTACCCACATCACTGTGACCTCTGTTTCTGAACTGTTTCTTCCCTCTTAGCTTGATACTCTTTCCTGACTCAACATTCCCGCTCCCTTCCCGATCTCGGCTCTCAGTTTCTTGAGAGCTGTGAGAGAGGAGCTGCTCACTGATTGGTTCTGATTCACTGTGGTCGCTTTCACCGTAAGTAAGAGTCACCATGAAGGTATCCGTCTCCTCCTTCAGTCCCAGCGGCTCTCCCTCCTGACTGCTGCACAGTTCCTCCTGCTCCTCTTTAATCTGTGGAGCTTCTGGTTCCTCCTGGTCACAGAGCTGCTGCTCAGGGAGAACCTCCTCTTTACAGACGTGCTGCTGTGGGACGTCTGGAGGGACACAGAAAGGTTTGTAGTGTGATTACAGGAAAAGTAAAAATATTCTAGAATCTAATTTTGATTAGAGATGAAATGTCAGATTATTTGGATGCACCTGAGAAACAGCTGCTGAAGGCTGACAGAGTCCTTCAGCTCAGGGTGAGGAGAGTCTTTTTGTACATGGAGTAGTTTAGGGTTTTTTTTCCAGGTATTAATAAAAATATTTTGTTTTGCCCTAATTTGACCTCCTTGAATCATTTTTCCAGAATTTCATTCTTCCTTGCAACTTCCTGAGGAGTTTTGTAACATCATAAAAACATTTATCTGTTCATAAACGTTAAAATCAGAGATGCGCTAACTTGAGCCAGCTGTGACATCACAGTGAGGCTTCAGCTGTCTGCTGATGCACGCACTGATAAACTGGACACCTCAGTGTACAGAGACCCAAACATTAGGCTAAAAACATAGAACGCGTGTTTCCATCACTGACTTATTTATTTATAATGTGAAAGTGTTTCCTGTTATTTACAGTCTGGTTAGTTTGTCCTGTCTCAGCTCCTCACACTGAGGTCTGTTATCAGAACAGGCTGACGCAGCTTTGCCTGCACCATTAAATAATATCGGTATAGGTTTTGGTGTGATAATTGTCACCATATCAGTGACACAGACTTATCATCCTGTATTTACATTCCCTGTCTTCCCTTCCCAACATCGGCCACAAGCGCAGAAATGTCGCAGAGAGCAGCAACAAACGGCTCCACCGAGCGTCGCTGGAGCGCTCGCTCGACCCAACATCTGCTTAGAAAATCAGTTTCAGTTTGTTTGTGTGACAACAGTGAAGCTCTGTAGAGTTACAAAGGTTAAGGTACTTTAGTTACTGTGAAACTGAAGCTTTATGCACTTATTTTATACTTTTACTTAAATATTTCCATTGGAAACAACCTCTGCTGATATTGTGCTGCATCACTGCAGGTAAAGCTGTGTCACCATTATTACACTATAATGATGCTGCTGGCACTTTGTGACAGTCGATTCCTGCTTTGACTCAGATCGTCAGTAAGAGGATAGAAATGAATTTTCTATGTTGTCATAAAATCATCATCACACATGTTTTTCACTGTCGTGATAGAATCTGTTGTTTATGAGGCAGAAGAAGCATCGCACAGTAACGCGGCTCTGTCAGAGCCAAAGGGACCAAACCAGAAACTGATAACATCAGAGCCCCGTCAGCAGGCAGACTTTCACAGTAAAATGTTCATTTGTGGAGAAATAAGTAAAGCAGCTTTCAGGAAGTGGAGCTGTGATGTGCTAAAGTCAGATTACTGTGCAAATGCACGTAAATCAAAATCAAATCAAAAGGAAATTGTTAAAGTAAAAATATTATATCTAAACTTTTAATTTTTCCTGAATAAAGTTTTCTAGAGATTTGAAACAAGACTTTTTTGATTGATTAAGCAAAATTGATATTGGATTTAAAAAAGCTAAAATCTTGTCCACTCTCTGCTTGTAGCCGTGTGTCTTATATGTGCTAGGAGGGTCTACGCTAAGGCTACGTTCACACTGCAGGAGAAAGCGCATCAAATCCGACTTTTCTGACCCTATGCGACCCATCTATCCGATCATGGTGTGACAGTGTGAACGGCACAAATCCGATATTTTCAAATCCGATCTGGGTCACTTTCGTATGTGG